TTTCATGGTAAAAAAATAAGTAATTTCAACCTATATAAGTAATATCCATAGTAAATTGTAAATTTGATAAGCACTCAATTAATGTATGTATGCATGTATTGTTTCTCTATTTGTAAGTAATAAGTTTTTTGTAAAAATAAATAAAATTATATTTTTATTAAATAAAAAATAAAGATAACATAATCTTAACATCAAAGGCGTAGAGAAAATCAATCACAAAAAATTAGTGGAGATTGAGAGAACCAATATGAGAGATTACTTTGCAACGGTTCTAAATGCATAGATAAAATAACGCAAAAGGATCTAACTATATGAGATCGTCAATTTTCCTAATCAGGAGATGCGTCGTGATGAATGCAAGAATGCAACGAAATATAAAGTAAATGAACAACAACCATACCATAAAAACAACAAAATTAAAACTTTAAGTATATGTGAAAAAATAAATTAAAATGAAGAGTATATTATTTAGATTTAAATAAATAAATAAATAAGAATAGAAGAGGCAATAATATTTAGACTACCGTTTAAAGCGACATTATAAAAGAAAAGCTAGTAACCATTCTTAAGAAGAAATAAACTTATTTTCAAGTAATGAGTTAAATTGCATTTTAGAAATATAAACAAATGAGTAAATTTATGATCATAATTTAAACGTGTTCATTGTAATATTCGTTTACAGTAAATAAATAAATTTCTAAGAATAAACTTTGATAGAAATCATTACAGTCCTACAGTCACAGACAGATAACAAGGAATACATAAGCACGCCAGTAGTTACAAACCATAATAAACCAGATCAACATCAATAATGTGCTAAACAATAAACAAACACAAAACTTCCAAGAGAGATAACCAATTCACAAGAAAGATAAAGTATTTGCAGACACATAAAGCCAAAGTCAAAGTGACAACGATATAAATTTCCTGCTTTATGTCACACACAAAAAAAACGAAAATTTTCCATTTCAAAAATTATTATAAATTAACTTAAAGATATTATAAACGAGAATATAATCTTATAATTAATTGATCGGTTGAATTTTCCACCCCTTTAATTATGATCTTCTAGGAAGATATGTTTTTTTTGTCGTAAAAGCTTTTCTAACGATATAAGAATAATATCAATTTTTTAAATATTTATAAATACTTGGTTCATCAAATTATAAATATAACTTATGATATATGCACTTTAATTCCACGATACTACATATGATACATGTAATTTAATTGATCACTTAATTTTGTATTTTATTTTATGATAACATTATACATTATACTTGTGTGCCTATAATTATAGATTTTAATCTAACACATATGTCATAAAACATTATGTCAAACTTTGAAAGGGATGATTATGTAAATAACATCTTAAATTTTTTTCCATTAATCAAGAGTAAATATAAGATATTATTTGTTCAAAAACTCCAATCATTCGACATTAAATGCACATACCCTTGGTATAATGGTGTGGAACTCGGGATCTCAAAGAACAATAACAATTTCTTAACCACTAAAATCGTTTAGTCATAAATCATAAAATATTTTCATATTAATGCAATTAAATTAAAATTAATTTATAAGAGATATACAACAATTAAATGGACTATTTGGGGATGTAGAAACGCCACTTAGCGATAAGAATAAATTAAAATATATGATTAGATTTCCATAGGCTACATTATCCATCTAAACTTGAATGTTTTGAGTCTGCAAATTGATTTAAGAAGGGAAAAATGTATATAAAACAATAACTGTATTTAGAACCTAAAAGGAATATTTATAATATCATTAGACCATGTATTATACATAAATTATGGATTTGATTTCTCTGTAAATGAATTTAGAGTGTGCTCAAAAAATGTTAAATCAACTTTTCTTTACAAGATTATATGTGGAATAAATTATATATATATATATATATATAAACCAACCCTATAGCTATGATTGTTTTAATAATGAAGGAACTATAAGTTAAAGGGAGGAATCTGCTTTTTTGCCTTCAAATCTTGCAAGCTTAACGCTTTCGAATTCCATATATAATTTGGCCACGTTTGGTGATAATTAAATAATTAATTAATGGTAATGTCATTCATGAATGTAATTTTTTTTAATTAGTCACTATTATCAGATCTATTGACCGACTAATCTATATAGGGTACTGCAAAGGAGAGAGTAACCCTCCCAACCCAGTTTGCTCCATTCGCAAACGTCATGATTTGAACCCCTGAACTTATTTAAGGGACTTAATGTCTCATCCCACTAGACCAACTGGTTGTTGGTTGTATGTAATTATTAATAATTCCATATCCCAATACAGAAGATAGCCAAATGAGTTGTCCGGAACTTCCCATGCAGTTTTTATTTATCATAGTTTATAGTACTATGCTGCTTTGGATGCACTCTATTGAAAATGTCACCTTACCGTTTTCTTGTTTTCGTTTTTTTTTTGGCTCCTCATATGTAAAAGTGTGAAGCCTGCCTTTTTTTTATTTCCCACAACTCTGATTAAGGATTAGTTGTATCTTTTGGCATCTACTATTATAGTTATTTTTTTATCTAATCACCCCAAATTCAAACGCTAATTAAATATTCGAAATCCAACAAAATTTCGACATCAATTATTAGATGGCATTATGTGTAACCAGTAAATTTTATAACTTAAAGTTGGCAACCTTATTATCGTATATGACATTATTATATAAATGTCCAACAAATAATCGAAATTCAAGTCGTTTTTCCACATCTGCTTTTGGATAAGATTGTTTTTATGTAGTATAAAAAAGTGTGTTCGGCCCTTAGAAACATAAAATTAATCTCTGGTATAGAAGTTGGTATTGAAACACAAGATGGGGTTAAATGTTTCTCTCTATCGACGGTGAATACCCTAATTTAAAGAAGAAGAAAAAACTGAATTACCGAAATTATTGTTAAAGTAATTGCTTTACCAAACATTCGTTGCCGTAAAGTTGATTCTATACACATTTTAAGAATGATTCTATATAATATATATAACGATTAGATTCCTGAGCGTTAGCTTTAGAGATTAATTAAATGGTGAAAAGTATGCATAGGCCTTAACTAAACGGCTTCGTATCATCCAAAGTTTGTTTTTTTGGTGAAATTAGGGTCCGTTTGTTTCGCGTAAAACATTTCCCGAAAAACGTTTTCCTCACTTTTTAGTGTTTGGTTGGAAGAAAACATATTGATCAATGTAAAACATTTTACTGGTCAACAAAATTTCCTTTGCATTTTCTGAAAAATGACTTACGATTTAATTTTCTTAAGTCATTTTTTAAACTTTTAACTTCAAAACATAAATACTCAAAATAATATTATTTTATAAATTTAATATTAATATGATATCTTTGAATCATTTTAATAAAAATATTAATTATTAACATATTTAAAATATATTTATTAATATTTTTAATAATATAATATAATAATATACTCAATTATATTATAATAATATATGATACTATTATATTCTTATTTTAATAATATATACTAAGTTATTAATAAAAGTTATATTATTTATTAATTTCTTAAAAATAATATTATTGAATTATTAATAGTGAATACTTTTATTTATGTATTTAATATATTATGAGAAAATAACCTCAGTGACAAAAAATGTCTTATAATATACGATTTTAACTAATTTTTTTTTGAATTTGCCAAAATGACCAACTAAATCGCAATGCGATCGATAATTCGCAACGCGATCTCCGGTATCGCAAATCAGTTTCCAGATTCGCAAACGCGAACATCGACTATCGCAATGCGATAGTCCAAGTTCGTTGCGATAGTCGAAGTTCGCGTTGCGATGGTGGTATTGCATTTGTTTCTTAAGAATTTTCTCTAAAAAGATAGTATTCGCGCGGACGTGTCGAAGATACGTATTACCACGACCACGACCACGACTACGAGACGGACGGCGGCAGCGGCGCACGAGAATCCCCCTTGTTCTCTATCACTTAACAAGGAAGTGGGAAAGCCAAGCCTTAAATACCATTCCCAATAGTATTTCCAATACTATGTGGGATTGAGCATTACCAACACTTGTTCCCAATACTATGTGGGATTGAGCCTTAAATATTGATATTATTTGTGAATTATAGTTAATGACTTTAGTATTTGTATGAAAAGTATTTGTGGTTCGATTAGTTTTCATGCAATTCTAATTTATTTTCAATTGATTGTAATTGCACGATAACAATTTTTTTTATTCTCGCGAGTGATGCAATTTGTTTTGAATGTTTTGCTTAAAATTGCAATAATCGTGATTAATTGTAGATTGACTTTTAATTATGACATATTTATTTTAAAATAATAATATTAAGTTTTTATAATAAATAATATTATTTATTATATTTTATATTTGTAATAAATAAATTCTCAAAAAATTATAAACTAGTGAAAAATGATTTACACAATATCTTCCAAACACCATAAAACATTTTCCAAAAAATGTTTTTTAGAAGATGATATTCATTTTACAAAAAAATATTTTCTGAAAAATATTTTCAGTGAAACAAATGAAGATGGGATTTTCAACATGTTCTGGAATCTTACAGTTGAGAATCCACTGGGGACTTTTAAGATATTGGTATAGTAGTGTACTCCATGAACTTTTTTCCCATTCTTTCTGGTATTTTTTTTATTCCTATTGGTGGAAAAACGAATACACGAATAATGTTGTTTGAATGCTATTTTATTTGGTATAATCTTTTTTTAGGTGGCTAAAGTGTATCGTATCCATGGCAGGAACACTTCACAAGGTCTGCTAATATTGAATTTATGCCGGTATCTTATTTTGGAATTACTAACGCCATAGATGCCTATGTTGAAACCTTCATTAGTCCCTTTGATTTTGATGCTTATAGTCCTGCTTTTCTTGGCTTTTGTTTCATTGAAAAGTTGTAAACGAAATTTTATATTAATTGTCAATTCTTTATTTTTTATTTTTTATTTTTTTTAATTTTTAGCTTTGGTCGTGTCAGATTGTGAATAGATGAATGTTCATTCCAATCCATTTTATATATCGACATATATTATATTCATATCTTAAACCTCAAGTCTCTGAGGAATATAAAAGAGAATTTTTCTACCATAATTCTGAATTCTTCACTGTTATGGTTCTCCATCTTATCTGCATCTCCTTTTCTTTGATTTTAACGCGCATTCTGCGTAGCTTTTAACCTTATGAGTGATTCATACTACCACTCAAATTAGCTTCACTTTCTGCTGCACCAAATTCAGAGTTGTTTAGATTAGTTCATTTGTAAATGAACACTCAGAAGATTGGTTGCCAAGAAAATGTAGAACAGAACCTTGGGTTCATTAGGGACTACAATTTTGATCATGTTGGTTTCCAACAGCCTTGGAACATGGGATTGCAGCAGCCAAATCCTGGGGCTTCTAAGTCATCGTCCACCAATACGATTATGGGTGGTTTTCAGACGCCTGGTGCTGCCTTTTATGCAACTGAAAGATGCATGGGGTTTCCCCAGTACGGGTCGTCTCAAGGAGGAGCTGCTTTTTGCTCTCAATACAACAAGATCTGCAGCAATTCACAGTTTCCTTCATTTCACGGCTTGGGGGACAACTTTTCAATCCAATCGGTTGCTCAAGGTGAACCAAACTATGAACCCAGGAATACATTGCAGTCACCAGTGAAATCTCAGATTTTTTGCGATAAGTACCAGAAATCCTCGGAAAAGTCCTACAAAATTCCATGCACAAACATACAAACGAGCCAGGTTTGGTCACATGATCTGAGTAACTTGCTTGGAAACAATGCTGCCACCGTGGGGAATCACTTTTCGGTTCCTTTCCGAGGAAATCAGGATCAAAGAGTAAGTTCTTTGTTCATTTTACAATGAATCCCGATTAACCTCGTGGCGAAAGAAGTTTGTCTTGACTATGTCTCGACCGTTTCACTCTGCAGGTTTATTGTAATTCACATGGTTCTTCGCCTGCAAAGCTAAGCTTCTTTCAACAAGAGAAGCAATCTTCAAACTATTCATCTGGTTCTGGGGGCTTTTCAGTTTCATCGAGTAACGCCCCTACCAGCGGCTCGGTGCTTGCTAGTAAAACTCGAATAAGGTGGACGCAGGACCTCCATGACAAGTTCGTGGAGTGCGTTAAACGCCTTGGGGGTGCCGAGAGTAAGTCAAAACCTAGAGAATTCAATGATTGGTTCTTGAAGCAATTAGTTATGTATTATTGCTTTTGATCAAACAGAAGCAACCCCGAAGGCAATTCTGAAACTGATGGATACTGAAGGATTGACCATCTTTCATGTTAAAAGCCATCTGCAGGTACTAATTCAATTTTGACAACTTTGGATGATGATTAAGATATGATATTCTAACTAAACGCTAACATCAGACTTTGTTTCTTCTGTTTCTTACAGAAATATCGAATAGCAAAATACATGCCAGACTCTGCTGAAGGTATAATCGACTTATTATGACTTCATTCTCAAGTAACGATCTAATGGTATTACGAAAATTCATAGTCTCCTCTCATACCTGTTGCAGGAAAATCAGAGAAAAGAACGAGTACAAGCGACGTAACTCAGATCGACGACAAAACGTAAATTTCTGAACCCCTTCTTATTCTCCTAATATGTTCTTTTTTCTCTGCATTTCCACCATGTTCTCCTAGTCTAATGCTATGTTAGATGATGCAATTAATCAAATTCTGCAATGTGTCCAGCAGTGGTTTGCACCTGACAGAGACGTTGCAACTTCAGTTAGACGTCCAGAGGCGTCTTCATGAACAATTAGAGGTAAAACAATGTTCTGTTTTACTATTTGGTACCATCCTGTTTCATAACTCTAAAAATTGAATCTTGTTTCTTTTTACCGTCTAGATTCAGCGAAATCTACAGTTGAGAATCGAAGAACAAGGAAGGCAGCTTAAGATGATGATTGATCAGCAACAAAAAACAAGTGAAAGCCTCTTGAAAAAACAAGATTCCAACATCACAGCATTTGATCCTGATCCATCATTTTGCTTCGAAGACGTTGAAGAAGCCTCGATTGCAGAAAGTTCAGGAACTTCTCACCTTCCATCCAAGATAAGTTAGAGCTTAGCAAGTTCACGTCCCATTTAAATAAAAAAAAAATACAAGCTTTCATGGCATGCCACCGAATTGAACTATTTATGCACATCAGGCTCTTGTAACAATGCCCAGTTTTAAGTGCCATAGACTGGTCAATATGATTCTATTGGGATAGTTTGAGGAGAAATTGTTTTTGGCATGTGGAAGGACTTTATTTAGAAATTGTTTTTGTTTATTTAGTTTGATATTATTTTCTTTAATTATTGTAATAGCCAATCTCTATTTAAGGAGACAGTGATAAAACAGTCTTTTAAGATTTTGATCGTATATATATGGAGTTCAAATTATTATGGGTCAAACAGTTTTCTTAAAAATTTCAAATAAATAAATAAATAAATATATATATATATATATATATATATATAATATATATTGATAAATATATTTTTGTCCCGAAAATTATATAAATTTGCTTCTAACATATTAAAATCTGTAATAATATAAAATCTTACGATAGTGTAATTAGATTAATTTTAATTTTTTATTTAAATTTTCTCCCATTATGATTTTAACCTCTAATTTTTCAAACTTCATTTTTTAAAATTCGGGTAAAGTATAAAATTGATTCATCACTATAGAATGTTGTTTTGTTGAGCATTCCGATTATTAAAAATTACAAAACAGTCATCCAACTATTTATATGTTCAAAATTTGATCGTTTCCTATTAAATTATTGACGATCGTCTGAGCTGGATAATGACTTGTTGATTGGGATATGATGAAATTATATTTTAATAATGTTTACTGGCACCGCCGTTGCTTTCAAATATTGCCTCGACAATATAATTTTTCAAGCACTGACTCGACGATATAATATAAACAGATAGTTGATACAAAAATACAACTCAAACGGTTCTAGATCAAATTTTACCACATCTCAATCAACATGTTAACGTCTAGCTCAGACGACCACTAATTTTTTAACAAAAAAGACAAATTTTGAACATATGATTAATCGGGTGACTATTTTATAACTTATAATAGTCGGATGACTTAATAAAGTAATACTTTATAATCGATAGACTATTTTATAACTTTTAATAATTGAAAGATTCAATAAAATAACATCTTATAATCGGAAATTATTTATGTACTTCATCCTTTAAATTCAAACATTTTCAAAATAGAAATCAAATTTATATTGTTAGGAGTTCATATATCGATATGTAACTTTCTAGCTTGGGCCTGTTTTGTTAGCTCTAATTAAAATCCAATCAAGTTAAAATAAGAATTTGACAAAAATTACAGATAATGGCCATTCTACCCTCCTCCGAACCCGTGTCGTCCAAAACCTTCTTTGTAAAACCTCATTGGGGCACTGCAATGCTTCATGGCACCCACTGTATCACTCAACAAAGATTAAACAACCCTACTGCCGGAGGTGCTCTCAAAGTTACCAAATTCCAAGGTAAAATAACATAGCTTAAACCTTTTTCTTTTTTGCTTCAAGCTTGAAAAGCTTCTTTCTTTCTCTGCTCTCTGTAGCTATTTATCTTTTTTAACATTCATATTGATCAATTTAATAATGACCCATTTTCGAAACCTTAGAAACCCAGCTACTCTCAACTGGGTGTCTTCTCATTTTGTTGAAAATCAACTCAAACCCCCATTTTTGGAACTGGGCTTATCTCACATCGCACAAAGGCAAAACCCTAGGCTTTATAGGACAAAAGGGTCAGTTGTAACTGAAGCGTGTGATGGTTTAGACGTTGCCAAAATCCCCCGTGCCACTTGAAAGAAGCTCAAGCTGCGTTGTTGGAATATTTGCATTGTACTAGGAATATTCCGTTTATGGATGCTGAAATCATGAGCAAAAACTCACCTGATTTTTTAAGAAATCTTTTGAAAAGGGTTAACATTGCTAATGATGTGGAAGTTCTATGAGGCGGTTTTTGTGTATCATCCCATTAATGAATTTGAACCTTTCTTGAGAGTTTGGGACTGAAACCTTGCGAGTATGCACCTTTTCTTCATAGGATTTGATGTTTTGAGTGATGATTCTTGTTGTTAGCGAACTATAGGGTCTGTGCCGATTTGGGATTGAACGAAATAAGATAGGTCTGGTATATAAGAAAGCAGTTCAAGTTTTCCAACTTGAATTTGGAGTTTTACCATTAAAGCTTCAAGCTTATCAAGAACTGGGGCTTAGTGATCTTTTATGGTCAAGATTATTGTTTGTAGTCCTGTGTTCTGATCGGTGATGTAGATATGAAATTCATCAAGGTATTAGAGATTTTGAGGAGTATGGGATTCGATTATGCTTGGATTAAGGAACATTTGTCCGAGCAGGATTCATATAACTGGAGCATGATACTTCGTGTTCTGAACTTCTTTAGGGAGATGTGCTGCAGCAGTGAGTTAGTTGGCTTAATCAGCCAGCATCCGGGGCTTTTGTTTGAGAGCTCTGGCTATGCAGTGTTTTCACTAATCGCTTTCTTGTTGAAGTTTGGACTTCCAATAGATCAGATATCTTCTATGTTTCTGCTGTTTCCAAAAATCCAAGTTCGGCATTTTGTTTCAAATCTTATTAGAAGTTTTCTGTTATTTCGCGAGATTGAGATGGAGGTGGATGAGATTGGGGAAAATTGTGCGTTCGTACCCCATATTACTTGGTTCACACAGGTTGAAGAAAGCTAATAGTTTACTCAGTCACTTAAATGTTGGAAAAAAGAGGCTTTGTAAATACATCCAAGAGAACCCTCAAGAATTGAGTAAATGGGGTACTGGATCAAGAGTTGAACCATACCAAACTCAGGAGAGTATGGAGTCACAAAGGTTGAGATGAAGTTCTTTTAGACTTGGATACGGAGAAACCCTGATATGATGAAGAAGGCATTCAAGGTGTTTCGAGGCAGGGGAAGGAGCTTCAAGAGATTTGATTCCATTGTGAATGCAGGTTTGGATAAGGCAGCTGTGTCTGAAATGGTGAGTGTATCCCTCAAATCTGAATCAATCAAAAGCTGTTATCCAATCTAAGATTGATGTTCTAGCAAATGAGCTGGGTTACCCTCTATCCTCTTTAGTGACATTCCCTCTTTTCTTTCCTATACAACACAGCGGGTTCGACTTAGATTGGCAATGTATAACTGGCTCAAAGATCATAAAAAGGCAGACCCTGACTTGGCCTTAAGCACAATTGTTGCGTGTTCAGACAAAGTATTCATGAATCAATGTAATCATCACCCCAGGGCCCTCTAGTTTGGCAAGATTAAAAGCAAAATTTAGCATGGATGATTGATACTATCTGCCTATTTATTGCTCATTTTGGGTTATATCTTGCAATTTGCCACCACAATTTACGGATGATATTGGTTACGTTAACGATTCTTCTACAAAGTAAAAACTTCACCTTCCCTGCAGTCAGTAAGAGGACAGTTTTCTTCAACTACCATTAGCCTATATGGCCGAGTGCCTTTGCATCAATAATAAAGTTAAGGTTTAAATTCTGGTTCCTACATTATGGTTTCTTTTCTTCATTTTAGGTTCAGCAATACAGACAACTCCTACCAGCTGTAACTATTTTCAGTGTATGTCTTTAAGATGAATTTATGTCAACTTTGTGTAGGGACAAGCAAACTCTAAGTCAAGGGTCTTAGAGTTTATGAATCTTTTGTTTTAATTGCCATAGTGGTTCTGGTTCTACATTTTTGTACAAGAGTTCTGCCCTTACGGGTAGTGTGATGCATACTGTAATACTCATGGCTCATTATGATTTCTTGAACCATAAGGATTTATGGTGCGCATTAGAATTTGGATTATCAGTGTATTGTTGGAATACAAATGCAGAAGATCTTAGTACGAACCTCCCATTACCTATGGGCACGGTAGGGCCAGAATCAGAAATACAAGACTGGCTAGGTAGTTTCTCGAAACTTTGTATTGTTCGACCCCGGATCATAGCAGAGTGAGCTCTGAAGAGCAGCTGATTAACTGCAGATAACATTTATCTTTAGTTGATTGTATTTATTTTTTTCTCCACCAGATTTATCCGATTACTAAAATAGAGTTTTGTCAACTGCAGCTAACAATTATTATATTATTTTTATTTTTTAATTATAAAATATGAAATGTTTTGGTAATTTGCTTTACGGGCTTAAATAAGGTAACAATGTCCATTGTTGGAACTTGAAAGAAAGAAAAAATTCCAGCCCCAAGTCTAATCCTGTTTTGAATCTCAACAATAAAAATGATACTAAATTTATTTTAGTAAATAAATTATATATATATATATATATATAAAGCTTCTTTATCTTTTGTAATGGATTGTGAAAAAACACCATTCAACTACAAAGAAAGATCCATTTCATCAGATACAGACACATTTTTTGTATATCATTCCATGTGGAGAAAATTTTATTTTGGAATTTTCCAATATTTACCCAATGACGATCATAAACCTCATAACAAACAACAACTTACGGTGTTAAAAAGATAGAGATTTTAGGTCATGTCAATAGATACTTTCCCTAAACTTTCACTTGAATGAGCTGAAATGAATAATAACAAGGATCCAGTTTTCAAAATAAATAAATAAAGCCAAGGTTATATTTGACGCGCCTTTATGTAATGTTTTAGCTTTGAAATTCACTCACATGCTTGTATGGCTGAACCAAAAAAAAAAAAAAAAAGTCTCTCAGCTCACACAACAATCTGTATCCAGCTATACGAAAAAGGAAAAGAAAAATTTAAAAATATCCCGTGTACAAAACAGACCCTTGCTATTCTGATGTTATGCCACGATCACCATACACGTTGCAGTCAAACATTACCACAGTCAATGTAGATAGATGATGATGATCTGAAAGAGTAGACAAATTGTTGTTGACAGTGAGGACTGAAGCAATGTCTGTTAACCTTTTTCTACTTTAGTTTTTAACCTACAAAATACTTTTTCTAAGTCTAATACTAGCACTAGAACTAGAACTAGAACCCTTCCAAGACACACCAAAGAGAGGAAAAAAAACCCCAATTTTTTCAACACTTCTCTCTTTCTCAACCTTGCCTTCTCTGCTCCATGGCTTCAGACTCTGTTAAAATAGTTTTCCTTTAACTTGCACCATATTATCTGATCTGGGTTTTCTTTATTTCTCATTCAGATCATTGTTTTTTTCTCTATGAAAGTACTTTCTTTTCTTCTTCTGTTTGCTTCACTAACCTTTGGAAGAAATAAAGACCCAGCCTTTTTTCCCCTTGTGGTTATAGTATCTTCTTTGACGGTATAATGAGATTCTAAAAAAATGTGATTTTGTTTCAAGGAAGCAGGATATTGGTGTATGTTTCAAGATCAGCTTCATTTTTCTTATTTCTTTCTATATTGACGGTGATAGAGTTGTCTATAGAAAGAAGAGGAAAGCTATGTATGTACATGTTCCTTTCATGTTGTATTGATTTATCATTTATGAGAAGTTAATGCTGTGTTTGGCGATGAAGAGATACATATTGCTTTTGAGTCATAGATTTTATATCTTTTAGGATATCAGATATGAACAACTTTTGCTTTACTTAACCTTGGATTAATATATAGAAGATGATTGAGTTCATATTGGAAAGTAAATAACATGAAACTTTTGAAGTTGTGGATTTTGTATTGATTGGGAAGTCTTTTCTCTATTCTTTCTTGGTTACTCAAACTTGAAGATTGTATGGCTTGTGATTGTTTGGTTTTGGAGTTTGTTTTCTTGTGAACTTTTTAGGTTAAATTCAGTTTGAAATTTGGCTGATTTGTCTTGAATCTTTTATTCCATTTGTTCTATTTCTACACAATGATTTATGTCTTTATGAAATGCAGTTCTTATTAATTGGAAGGGGGAAAACCAGCCGATGGATGAGCCAAATAAGAGTTTCTGATTTGGTTTGGGTGGGTTTTACAAGGTTTCTTAGGAGAGTGAACATACTATACATATACATATATGTGTATATATATATACTTGCTGTTTCTTTTGTTAGATTTTTTTCATTGAAAGGCAGAAAGGGGGTGAATGTTTTTGCTGGAATGACTGCATGAATGTTTTTCATTTGTTTAGTATTGCCTCTTGTTTTAAGGCCTTGAATTTTTATTTGTTTTTACGTATGTAGACTGATGATATGCTCACTTATATTTGATGTTATGGTATGTACTTTGCTTAATTTTTAGTGGAATTCCAAAAATGGAGTGTGTTATTTCCATTTTTTTGATCTCACTTGTTAGAGTCTGCTCTTCGTATGTACTTAATGTCGATTTTTTTTTTGCACTGAATCCATCTTTTTGTCTTTGCAGAAACCTTCAGCTGTTTGATATTGTTGTTTAAGTGATCCTTTTACAATGAGAGGAGGTAGAGGAAAAGCAAAGAAGCAGAATGTTGTTTCTTCTCTTGATGATCCAGCAAGCGGTGAAGATGAAAAACTTCCTGCTTATAAGAGAAGAGGAAGGCCGCAAAAGCAAACGAGGGATGATGTCGATGAAGATGAAGTGGAGAAGGCTGAAGAAGATGGTGAAGATGTAAAAGGTTCGGTTCCTGCCAAAGAGATGAAAAATCAGGCTGCCACAGAGAACGGAAGGAAGAGGAAAAGGTCAATTCAAGCAAAAGAAAACATAGATTCAATCAAGAAAGCAAACGGTGTCACAACGAAGTCGAGCACAGATGATTCAACAAAACCGGTTGGATACCGGCAAAATGGTAGCAGACGCAAAAACAAGCCTCGACGGGCCGCCGAAGCTGTTGTTGAGTGCAAGTGAGATTCTGGGTTGAAAAATCATTCCACAAGTAATGCTAGTCTGCGCATGTATGGATTCATGTGTTTCTTTTTGTCACACATTATTTGCTTTTTTGCAGTTTATGTGTTCCATTTCGGTAGTGTTTAATTTTGGTTGCAAGTTTTCTTTTTTTGGGTAAGTGCCTGTAATATCTTCCATGTTTTCATCACAAATTAAAAGGAAAACTGGTGACATTTACCATGAGAAATCTTGTTATTCACTTGAGAATTTTCTCTGGTTTTAAAGATTGATTCAACTCGGTAAACTAAGAAAAAAACCGAGTTATTAATTTAATTACATGAAAATATAAAAGTTCATGTATATTAACTAACATTAATATATTTTAATTAAAATTAAAGTTAATAATTTAAATTAATCAACCAAGTTCTTGTACCAAAATATATATTATCCCAAATTAATTATAAAGAACCTACCGTATACGACCCGACCCGATCTCATTCGAGCGGGGCATGACTGATAAAATGTTTAATAGCGCATTATAAAGGAGAACATGGATTTCTTGAAAACATTTGAGCTAAACTCTGACTCTCTCGCGTCGTCTTCTCCAATCTCATAGGAAAGGTATTTTTCTCTTTCCCTTTCGCCTTGATTAGCGCTGTTTGTTTCTTTAGGTTATCGTTTTCAATCTGTTGAAATGTGTGTTTAAATCAGCTGCATAATCTAGGGTTCTCTTTTCATAAATCTAATCTAATTCTTTGGTTCGCTTGATTTGATCTATTTCCAATTCCTTTGTTGTCTTTTTTTCTTCCTTACTATATATATGCTGCGACGGGATTTAAGCGATAATTAAGTTAGCATTTTAAAAATTATTTTTCTTATTTTCGATTGTTGGTAACGTAGGCATTGCTGGTTCGCAGCTGGGAGAATAGTTTCAATTGCTCCTGGAAATTCTTTTCTTTTTACATTAAAATGAAAAATCATTGGTTCAGTGCCCTTTTCCACTATTTTGACAGTTTCAAAACCTGCGTATTGATGTGTTTGTCCAAGTTGTAAGGGCTTTTCTATATTCTTATGAACATATGAGTATGCTGATTTTATGCATTGAATTTTTGTTGGTCCCCAGTATAATTGAAGGTTCATTTCGTATTCTGATTTGCTTTAGATGATACGTATATTATTGTTGTCCCAAAATGGACACCAACGGTTAAATTTTGACAATCGAACTTAGAAGTTTGAGATTCTCAAGCTTGAATCTCAGGAAGTGGGATGGGAATTATGGATGAAGAGAACTACCTTTCTTTATGTAGCTCATCCTCAATCCTAGATGATCTCCAGATGTATTTTAAGTGGGTCATTTACTTTCCCTGTAATAGATATGCTAGATACAAATACTATGGCTGAACACATTCTCTCTCTATATAAAATTTTGTGTATATATATTTTTTTTGTTATTTATTTATTTGTTTTATGATATTGGTTGTTATTCAGTAAGAAGATGGCTGTAGACCCCTCAGAGCTTAGGTATTATGAGGATGATGACACTCCAACAATGAAAACAATCAAGGGTGCAACTACAGGTTTTGCTGCTGGAACTATATGGGGAACCGTTGTTGCTACATGGTATGACGTGCCTCGTGTTGAGAGAAGTGTTGCCATACCCGGTCTTGTAAGAACACTAAGGATGATGGGAAATTATGGAATGACATTTGCTGCAATTGGGGGAGTCTATATCGGTGTTGAGCAGCTGTTGCAGAATTATAGGATGAAGAGAGACTTTGTCAATGGTGCTGTTGGTGGTTTCGTTGCAGGGGCTTCCATTCTCGGTTTCAAAGGTATAAATTTAATTCAGAGAGCTAACTATGCTTTGTGAACCTTGTGAGTTGCTATTTGATTTTATTATTTTATTACAACATATCTTGTGGTAATTGGAATAGCTCAGATGTTACATCTAAAATATCAATTTTCACTAAAAGTTTAAGAGTCCCGATTTTTTTACCTCAGACCTCGCAATGTGCCTGGCAAAAAATATTACTATATGGATAAGTTCAGATCATATACTAATTTTCTTGTGTCTGTAATATGGAGATGTCTTTCGTCCAAAACTTTTTACCTCTTCATAATTTCAAGGCCTGTGATGTTCATTAGGATCTCCTCCACCATCTAAAGAATGGTGATAAAGTTATATACTCCTGTGTTGCTTTGAATTGTTTTTTGTTGATATTCCTTGAACATGTTTACTCACTTGTTATATGTGAAGTGGTAGGAGTTATGCCTCTTGGCATATCAAAAGTCAGTACTTTCTGATTTCTCCTAAATATCCTTTCCTTTTGGAGTTCTTTTACATGCATTACTATACTTTCTTGCTTGCCTTGTCTTTTACTTTTGCATTATGAACTCCGTATTGTCTAGTCACTAGTGAGATAAAGGGTTTCATAAAGGCATCACTTCGGATGGTATATTTACATAAGTTTATGTGCTTTTAAGGAGAATGAAATGGACTATCATGTGGGTTCTTCGTTTCTGGATCTAGAATAAACTTTCTGTTTTTACCACTTGTAATGTTCAACAAATGTATTTACATGCCATCCATTTTCCAGGGAGGAGCATCTCCAGAGCTATTTCTGCCGGATCGGCGCTAGCATTCACCTCTGCTGTGATTGATGCTGGAGGTCAGACTACAAGACTGGACACAGGCAAGGAGTATTACCCATATACCACCAAGAAAAGACCTGCTGAATCATAAATCTTGCACGTCGTTGTTGAGAAGGCATTTCCAATTAAGTGTGAGATAATCAATCCTGTTTGATGAACTGGATAATACTCTCGGACTCTGTTTCCCTTTTTGGATGTTTTACTTTTAGAGCAAGGATGTTGATTTGAATAAAAATGCATTGTCATTTATCAAAACCATGGTATAGATGACAGTTTCGGAACCTATTGAATCCAGGATGCTTGATTAATGCTTTTGTGATATTCTTTGTTTGCCGGATACATGAGCAGCCAAGGATAGTGCTTCGGTTTCTCTTTGTTTATGGAATACCCCAGGACGAATTGCACTTTTCTCGACTGTTGCATACGCTAAATCTCTGGCCCCTGCTATTGTGAGTATTATCAAGGAAATGAAAGAGAAGTTGCATATTCTATTATCAAGATTTCTAAACGGAAGTACACCCAGGATAGATTAAACTGGTTTTACTCGACTTGATCTCTTCAGTCTTCAGGGGCGGCAGGAAAATACATATTTGCTGGGCTAATATGAGGAGTGCAAAGCAAATCATCCATAAGGCATCAGCTCCCTTCACCAATAAAGATATTTCGTAATAAAATGGAAAAAAGGAAATAAAATAAAATCATATAAGGGAGAGGTTTGGGGTGACAGGGAAATGATGAACGACCAGAATAGGTGTCGAGGAATCAAATTCAACAGGGCCATGTCTTGGGGGGCTGATGATTCGCAGTCGCTTCAGCTTTGCCAGATACTCAAGAAGCAACAGATGATATATGAGAACAATCCCATGCTTGATGCCATCTTTCTTCTTCCATCTGAAACCAATCGGAAACTCCAATTCTTGATATTCTAGTTCAATGCATTAGCAGTACACTTCTTATTACTCAAAAACATGTGTTCCCCCCCGCCCCTAAATGTTGCTTTATTGTCTAAAGGGACTACTTGCATCACAAGTATATAAACTGAGATGAGCATGGCCCCACGAATAATATATTCACATATTGAAAATTTCTTTATATTTATTAAAACAAACAAAAGGATAATCATTTCCTTACTTTCTATTTAACCCAATTCATTTTCATAATTTCATTAACACGTAAAGATTAATTTCACTCTTGAAGCGCAGTCCTTTTTGAATATATAGAGTGGAGGTAGAACTGAATTTTGTTGCAGAGCTCAATCTAAAATCAAAGGTAGCATATCAGATTTTTGTAGTATACGTGGCACAAACCCATTGCCCCTTCCAAATTCTTGGGCCACTCTCGTGGCTATCCTCAATTCCAAGCTCTCCAGTTAACCACTCTGAAGAGAAACAGAGAGGGCCAGCTGCAACAGAAGCTAGTAGATAATTCTTTCAATTCTCCAATGGCTGGAATTGCTACTACTTGTTACTTATCTCTTTCTTCTACAAGGTAGAGGTGTCTGTTTTAGCCCATCCCTTTGAAGTTCTAAACTTTTCTGGTTATATTCCTGAAGATCAGAAGCAAGTTTTAAGTTTAAATCGCTTCATTTTGAAATATAATTTCCGGGTTTGGCGTTTGGTTTCTTAGATAATCAGAATGCTCGAACAATATATGTTATATATCATAGAAAATCTCACATAAAGTGTCTACGATTGTGCATTTTTTTAAGTCTTTACATATATATCATGGTTGATCCCCTGAGTTTCCAGATATGGAATTACATGCATTCTCCCAAATCTTTCATTTTTCTGTAAATTTTGTTTGAAACCCTCCATTGGTTTCAAGAGAAAATGGACAACAGGAAAGACCATGAAGTTTTGTAGTTTGTTCAACGCTGTTTGATTTGCAGTATGCATGAACCTTTTGTTGGAATATTTGTTGTTATAAATGTAGAAACTGAAATAAAAAATAATAAAAAGCTACAAACATGGAAGTAATGAATTGGGATTTCTTTCCAGCAATTCAGGTAGAACCTGGTTGGAATTAAAACCCCACCATGGAAGAACCATCTCAGGGACACCTATCCGGAGAAGAAATCTAAGCATTAGAGCAGAAGTGAATTTTGTAAATGCTGAAGAAGCAAAAAAACTTGTAGCAGTTGAGGGTTATGCAGTTGTTGATATCCGTGATAAATCTCAGTTCGACCGAGCTCACATCGAATCATGTTATCACGTGCCTCTTTTCATTGAAAACAAAGACAATGATCCTGGTGAAACATTCTATCTTTATTCCATCCAAATTCAGCTCAAATTTTCGATTAAGTACTACTTAACTGTGTAGAGGGACTTAACTCGTTTCTATTTGAGTTGTTCTGTTTGTGCAGGCACCATAATAAAGAGGACTCTGCACAATAATTTTTCAGGCTTATTCTTTGGGTTGCCATTTACAAAACTCAACCCTGAATTTGTACAATCTGTGAAAAGTCGGTTTTCGCCCGAAAGTAAATTGCTGCTTGTATGCCAGGAGGGATTGAGGTTAGTTTTAAGCATCC